TGAATAGTGCCGAAAGCTGCAACATGGTAGAATCCTGCTCTTCTCGCTTAAAACACTAGTACTGCAATAGCAACTGCTCACCTCAAATTTGACATTCGCGACTGTATAAGTAGGTTCTTCAGCGACAGGCGGCATCGCAGGTTCCATCTCATCATCACGTTCATAATCGTCGTTATCGGAAACCGAATTATGCTCGATGTCCTCCTCATTGTCGGAATCCTTAATCATGCAAAACGTTTTCTGGAAGAAAGGAAGCATCACTTTCAAAAGAAAAGCCATATGCGATACTACAGATAAATAACGTAACATACATCTGACTCTCCTGTATTGCTTCCCTCCGGTAAATCCTCCTCTTGGGCGTTTACTGGGTACCTTCCCATAACGCGTTCCTGACGAATGCCTAGAAACCGAAGATTAACAGCCAAACTTAACTCTTGAGAATAGAATGAAACCTACTTTTGCAACCCGTTTATTCAGACCAGGAGCGCTCTTTCGGGTTTCGATTGATTTCAATCGTTCCACGTACTGTTTTGTACGTCGCTGAACACAATGAGATGGATAGACAATAATTTCATAGCGTTAAGATTTCACTTCAGTCACATCGAAATATGGCTTACCAGCTCATCTCCTAACTGAACATCGTCTTTTGGATCCAATCCTCGTAGAGCCGCTAAGCACCATCCCAATGAATTCATAACAAACATTGTCATTACATCGACTCGTACCAATCCTAGCGCTGATCGCTAAATATACTTCAGTAAAAGGGCGCTGTTCGGCTTAGGGTGCAATTTACATTTTGGCTCAGTTCTCTTGTTAGTTCCTGTTAGGTAACAGGTCTCACTTCAAGACCTGTAAACGCGTGAGAAACAGCGGATGGTACCAGTGAGCCACCTTGGTTACAAGAACTTAGAGTTCTTCACAAGGTGGCCTGTACAGGCTTCGCTGAGCAGCTCTGTGCCTCCGCCAGGCTGACTGCATCGAGTGGAAGTATTCAGGATTTTCAAGAGAACTCAAGATTGCTTACCTTCATGTGATCATCAAAGCTAACTTGGAGAATCGGAGCGATGGCCACTTCAAGCGCAGTCAGAGCCTCGTCAAACTTCTGTAGACGTTTGAGGCACTCCACGGGGAGAGTTTTCTTTTGAACTGGTGGCGTACCCGTGGCTGTCGAATCGACCATAGCCTGAATCAAAATCCTCTTCTGGATAGTTCACCGTAACCTTGCGCTTAAAATTCGTGGCGTTGCTCGCTACGACTGCTTCAGTTCACTTTTTTTCCTCAGTTCCCTGACTACAAAACGTTACTATCAGCGTACGTAATGTCAAAAAAACTCATCATATTAGTAGTGTTCTATACGGTGCATGTACAACGACACTGACAGATAGGAAAAAGTTTTACGTGCCTTGAGAAGTCAAGAGAAATACGAAGCATTCCTCTCAGTCACTTTCCAGTGATGTGTGAAATAGCAAAAGCATATAAAGGCAAAGAGAACAGTGTAAGCCAGGGTACATCATAGGTTTGGTGATTTTGGTCGAGTCCTCACGACCCCCCCCCCCTGTCCCCCTCCCCTTCGGCCCTTATCGAGCTGTCCAGCAGGGGAGGGAGCGTGGGGGTTTACGTACACATGAAACAGGAAAATCACGAAAAGTCAGTCACCTCTCCCAGAATGCCAGAAAGTGATACGACCCCCCCCCTCACATCCTGAAGCGAGAAAAATCACGCTATCATCCGTGAAGCGAGAAAAATCAACTATCAAAATAAATTCTTCCCAGCTCAAATACAACCCCCCTCTCCCGGCGACCAAATACGACCCTCCTGTTGCGGATTCCCTAATAACGATGTGCCCTGGTGTAAGTACACCACGGATATACCGGACAATGGAGCAATGATTTCTCGGTTTACGGCGATCTTAATTTTGCACAAGCAGTTTTTTGAAGCCTATTATGAGAAGAACAACGAGCATCTTGTGTTGGACAAGGATTTAGTCCTGGAATGTGCTTATGGTTCGAAATAATTAGGAGGCAGAAAGAAGAAGGTATTGCCCAAGATTATGGAGAAGTTGTCCAGGAGGATCCATTTTTACCATACCTCGAAACGAAGTACGAACGCGCTCTAATGAACCCCAGAACACCTCCACTTTTAGCCTTACTTGGTAAAAATCTTTTTCTGACCGTTTATAATCAAAACATTTCGCAGTGGTATCACGATTTTAGTGAAACAAGGTAGCAAAGTCAAGAGCTAAAAGCTCGAAAGAACAATTGCAACCCTTTTCTGCATAAAATAAAAGATGATGTATTAAATGATGTACCCACTCCAACTCCCTCCCACTGAATGCCGTATAAACTAAAAAAAACAACAACGAGGGAGTGTGGAAACGGGGCTCGCTCGATCTTGTAACCCCCATAGAGGTGTACGACTGCTCATTGAAGCTACCTAACTATATCCCCGTTGAACTGACTAGCGCCAAGAAGTTACTTTCAATGCATCAACGCATATTCGCTGAAACAGACTATGAATCTCCAAATGCCTGTGTTGGAACGGTGCCAAATAATTTAGTGCAACGACGCACAAATGAACGACCGGGATGTGTTTCACTGCGTTTCCTGTCAGCGACGCAGAAAAGCAGCTGCATTTCAGGAAGAAAAAGAACAACGATCACAGCATAAAGGCTGGATTGGCTATGTGCAGGATTTGCCTGACAACGGGGATGCTGTCTCTGACAAGTTTGCTGGCCAGCTGCCTTTGTCCGCGAGGAGCCAAGGAGCCAGGTCGTTGCCCGGCTCCTCATGGACGAGTTTGCTCGGGTGCCTTGCACGGTCTTTGTTCTAGGACATATCGTCGGCTTCTTTGCTTTTACTCGTGCTTCCTTCATTCTGTAGTGTCCGTTAACGTTGTACTAAGTTTATGTGGGTATATTTCTAAATTGTTCAACGAAATGTTAGCATTGTTTAGTGAGATTATTGGAATGTTTAATCAAACCACTTTTTAGTAGCAATGTCGTCATGCAACTGTTTTTCAAGAGACCCTTGATTCTAAATTAATATGCCTGTATTTTTCAGCCCAACATGAACGGAGGAAATGAAAATCCATCGTCAGAGGCTCAGAATGGTTCCAAAATGTCTGAATCGAACAGCGAAAACTCTGAAGATCAAGTAGAAACTTGTGCAAAGAGGAGAAAAATGAGTGAGTCCTGCGGCATCGATGTTCCGTCGTCTTCAGGAGAGCAGTCTGGTTCTCAACTTCCATCATGGGTCGCAGGTAACATTAAGTTTTACCATGGTATTTTATTCGTCAGCACAGTATCACGCCACTAAAGTCACTTTTAAAACCACACAACGAGGAGAGAGTGTTCCCTTCCCTTTGAATTACAAGCCTTGTCAAAATGTGCAATCAGATTTCAAGGTCAAGGGTTGAGGTTGCATGTGTTTGCTCTTACAAAATAAATTCTTCTGAAACGTGCAGGTCTAAAGTTACAGCATGGTTTTCGTATGGTCAAAATTGGATTTATCAGCCGCATTCTTTTGTACGTAGGAGATAATGCGGAAAATTTAAGGGAAATTTCATTCAAAATTAACTGGGGTTTTTACATCTGACGACCTTTATAACTAAGCAGTCGGAATTATCGCGTTAAACTATGATTCATATTAATGAGGCCGCAGAGCGCATATTTGTATAGAAGGTAGGAAGGTAGGTAAAATTCATTCTGCATTGGAATGCGCTCTCATTACCATCTATATAAATGATTTCTCAAAGTACATTGCATGGGAATCGTATTTCGCCCACTTGTGCGCGTGAGCGTTGTATTACTAGCAATCCGAATTTATTGGCAGAGTGGCCTGACCACACGTTTTATGTGTTATCCAAATGTTTATTTCCCGTTAGACTAGAGTAGGCCTGGGGATTGCTTATAAGGGATAGGATTCTGGTCAACTAACGAACATCTTTTGTTGTAGTGGAATTTAAATTCATTCGAGAGAGCTCGGCGGACAAAACATGTGCCGTCTATGGGTGGATTGTGCTTAAAAGGGTTCGATACTACCCATATAATCGATGTGGTTTCGCTTACAGGGCAGTATTCTTCCCCGATGCAAAATACTTTTCCGTCTGGAAAGTCGTCCATGTGTTTTGCTGTGTGATTGTTCGTCTGTGCATCAACTTAAAGGCAGCGTCCGCGATCAACCATTGTGAAAAAACTCTGCATTGAAAACGAACGCGGAGTCCGCAACCGCAGCGGAGATCCGACTCTTGCGGCTCGAAATCGATTGGTTGACGAGGGCGGAGTCAACAAGGCTGAGCTGACGCCTCCTTTCCTGTTAATCCCGCCCCGATTGGTTAACAGTTGTCAATGCTTGCTGGCATTGATATACGCTGAATTTCTAGAGTTCCGAGGCGGCGACGTGTATTGGAGAACTCACCAGAAGTTTGCGAAACTCGTCCACATGCCTTAAATTTCATAGGGTCTTATTTCACGCTCTTCCACACCTTTTTCCTGCTTTTTTTGATTAGTGCTTCATTGGCCACCTGTTCTAGCAAATGTGACCCCTGAAACCTGCCAAAGTCCATCGCGGGCGCTGTCTTTAAGATGAAGTGTTCGAGTAATCGAATCATGTGAAATCGAGTTTTTCTTTCAGGTGGATCACCCGCTCGATTCGTGGCTCCCGATGAACTGCTCAAAATGTCTGTTGCTATGGATAACCTTGCTCTGGTTCATGAGATCGCAATCGATCCTAACTTCTCAGTTTCTGAGTGCCATCGAATCCGATTGAAGCAGCGATAAAGTAACTTGCTAATCTTTTCGCCATTGCGCTGCTGCTTATGTCTGTTTTAGTTGATGCAGATTAACTGTTGAGTTTCTTTTTGGCAGTTTCCAGAGAGAATATGCATCGCGCTTACTGGGATATTCTTACCGAGGATTTGGCGAAAAATCCTCCCGATTATACGCACGCTTTTAATCTTTTAATGGAAATAAAACAAGTAGGTTTTGCATTTTTTTCATAGTACCTGAAAATAAGCAGTTACTCTTTCAGACCATCCTGGACGACATATTGTCATCGGCTCATATCCGTTTGAGGGCAGAAGTGAATTCCGTGTTAGATGAGAGTAAGTTTTCGTTCAGTCTTATTGTTTTGAAATTGGTCCAGTTAATAAGATCAAACGAGCACGCGGGACTCCACCGCCCTCCACTGGCGGGAGTGGGAGGGAGGGAGGTGGGAATCAGAAAAACGTGTTAAACCAAAATTAACCGAAACCACCACTTCCATCCCCTTCAACCACAGCAGCATTCTTCTTGCATCCCATTCAGTACGTCCCCCACCCCCTATCACTTATTTCGGTTTGTGCAGCAGAATATGAACGGCAAAATGTTTGTTGAGCGGGGGAGGGGGAGTATCAGTAGCAGTGAAACGGGAAAACCAAAAAATCCTTTCTCAACGCGGCAAATTTCTGTAAAGTGCAAGTACCCCTTGGAATTACACAACGATATGGATACGCCCGTGAAATAGGAAGAATCAATTATTAAGAAGGATTTTCTCGGACCAAATACGACCCCCCTACCGCTGGGATTCCCCGACGTAGAGCGTGCCCCTGCGGCAGTAGCGCTGCGTTCCTGATCCTTTCTTGATTTGTTGGAAGCTGTAAAAATTGATACATAGCTCTCTTCTCGGTGTGAGTAAGAAATTGCACCTTGTCATTGCAAAATCCATAATCGAGTTCCAACATCATGGTTTCAGACTCACTGCGTAATAAGATGGAACAAAATTGTCTGGACGTCCATGGAATCGGTCGTTTCATTGTTGATTTGCTTGGGAGGCTGTGTGCTCCTGAAAGGGATACTCTTGTAGAGAAATTAAGGCACGAGGAGGGGATCGTTGAGTTGATAAAGTAAGTTTTCGTTTTGGAGATGCTTTTCAGTTGCCTAATGGTTCGATTTTCAGAGGCATTTTCAATTTAATGGATATTATGAAAAACGATTTGACAAATTATGTTCTATCGACTAATCGTGCTGCAGTAGAGGAATACAGTTCGAAGTTCGAGTACAAAGAGTTTCTGAAGTATCTCGAGAAATTCCCAGGTTCTTTGCTTAATTTATTGATTGCGAAGAAGTTGCGTATAGTTTGTTCTTACAGACGGCTCAATTATGACTAAGGAGTGGCTCAAACTTGCTTATCTCGAACTCCACCCCTCCACTTCTTCCAGTGGTTCACAACCTGAACCGAAAAAGGAGAAAGTAATTTCTGAGGATACTGATGACGACGAAGTTGTTAAGACAACTAGTAGAGGCTATCTCAAGTAAGTGCTGGCATACTCGCATAGTTGGTTTCTTTCGACCTGTTATCGTCAACGCTTTTCAGAATGGTTGAATCTCAAAACCCAGTACCGTACCCTGAAACTCTCCGTATAGACAAGCTGCGGCTGGCAGCATTAGCGGAGAAATTCTTGCAGATGAATGTTGTGACAAGTGCTGTATTCATTACCTGCAATCTCGCCGGGAAACAGGTACTTTCCTTTCAGTCCCACTTTTTTAGGATTAGTGAGAACCTAGAAAGGTCGATGTTTGACGCTAATTGACGCTGCGTTCGTACTTCGCAGCTCGAGTCATTATGTCGTGCAATACGGGAATAACGCGAGAGCAACTTACAGTGCTCCACCACTGATTAATGGACCGATGCAAGTGCAAATTTAATCACCTGTATCACCTGTGCTCCCGTTGATCATCGAGTTCCTCGAGCGGGCGCCAGTAACGTCTCCATTCGTCCCTGCAACGTGCAAGAGTTGCCCAATGGACTCTCTCTGCTCGACACGATGAACTTCATACCATTCGTTCAGAGCTTTCACGAAGAAGTCTGACCATCGCATAGGCGGTCGTCCAGGCGTTCGCTTGACATCCCGTGGAATCCAGTCTATGATCGCTCTGGTCCAGCGGGAATTTAATCACATCAGGAAAAAATTTATCCTGAACATTGCAGCGGCCCAACGATTATGAGTGAAAGGCGGTCGTGGAACTGAATCGTTCGAGTTGGGAAGTATGAACGCGGGCTTACAAAATGTTTTTTTGCAGTTGAATTTAAGTGAGTTAACGTTATTTGTATCAGTGATGACTCTTCCAGATTTCTGAAAGTGAAAATTTCAAAAAGTCGCTAAAGGATCAATTAATTGTTATCACAAATGACATAGAAGAAAAGTGAGTATCAAGACATGAAAGCTATTCGGACTACCATGGCTTGAATTTCGTTGTTCAGGAACCTCTTTGACACCTTGGACGCAATTTGTGAGCAGTCTGTCGCAACCACCCGCAAATGTGCGGACTCTTTGAACGTACAGCTGTCTAGTGACCAAGAAAAAGCTCTGCGTGAGCAGATAAAAGCGATCGGCGACGAAGGCAATGCTATTAGGACATTAGTCCGTGAGTCTTCCATTATTCTTCTCTTTCAGTGACTTTTGTGGCCTCGTAAACTGTTTTATTTCAATGTTTCGTATGGGAATATTTCACATGAAAGTTTTCATTTTTTTCAAATTTTCATTGTGTATTTTCTAGAGGGTACGATACGTGGATTGTTGTCCATTTATGCTCTTAGTTGATAGATCTTATTTTGAGGTTCGCGCATTGCCACGTTTGTAGAAGAAATTCTTCGCTCGCCTTCCGAAGTTCCCCATCGCCTTCTTCCTGGCCTTTCTGTCATTCAAAGCGAGCTTTGTGCATTTACCGCCAGGTACGTTGCGTGATAAGCAGCGTTCATACTTTGTGTCAGCGTTTCGAGCGTACGCTAGCTAGCGACTAGGAAGGTTTGGATGTTTTGGATCTAGCGTTCCGAGCATCCACCAGCGTATGCCAGCCTACAGCAGCGTTTTCGCGGGCAGTTTGCTCAAGCAATGGCCGGCAAAAACAGTGGCGTTTGCTAGATCGGCATCGATACTTTCCTAGTTGCTCGAAACACTGCTGTACACTGGCGCACGCTGACGAAAGTATGAACGTAGCCTTTTGCAAGTTGAAGTGGTTTGGCCACAACTGTTTTCACCGTTGCATTGGTTTACAAGGCGAGTAAAACTTTCTTACAGATTGCTGCGGTTGTGTGTTCACAATAGGAAGACGTTCTTTACGCTTTACAAGAGTATACTCAAAGAAATCAAATCGAACATGGTTGCTGCTTGAAACGTGTTCCATCTCTATGCATTTAGTGGAAGGCTTGCTCGCTTGCTATCAGTTTATTTCGCTGTATGGGTTTTTACGACATTCGGAACTAACATTATTAATAAATATGACAGCACTTATTCATGCATGTTTTTTTTTCGTGATCAGAATGGTCCATTCCAAGCCGATATCTTTCAATATTACCTGTCTGGCTGCGTTTTTTCTCCAATGATTTTGTAAGTAAATTGAGTTTAGAGGATGTCTTACCCACGTCATCCCAATGCCGTAGTTATAAAGCCACCAACACAAACTATTTCACCACTTATTCGGTTCGGAAGGTATGTGAATTTATTTTGATGGTTTCAGTTCTCGTAACATCTTTATTTTTCGCACTTTATTGCATCTATGACAGGTACACGGCGCTTGGTCTTGGGATTCTGTGGGGTGCGTACCGTCTGCGTCAGATCCGTGAACACCACGCCGATCTCCGTGAGTGGGAGCACGAGAAGGCTGTTGCGAAGGCAGCTGAGGACGCACAGAGGAAGAAGTGGCTTTCTAGAGAGGAGATGCGCTACCTGATGAAGGTATGCAACTGGATATTAATTTTTCATATTTCCTTGATATTGGCTCCATATTGCCTTGAAATTGATTTTTCAGGTGGTCGATCTTCCATTCGAAGAAGGAGTTGCTCAATTTGGAGTCGCCGATCTTTATAGGGAAGGAGTAGAGCAGAAGCTATTTTGCTTAGTAGAATTCAAGGTTTACAGATAAATCTGTTCAATTTGTTACTTTGTCACAATGAATTTTTTTAAGACGGTTCCATTGTAAAATTCGTCAGTTGACAGCTTTTGATATGGATGAAATTGTGCTGTCTTCGTTGCTCAATTTTTGGCTCAAAGGGCTCTGTGAGAGGGGTCGACGACATGTGGGAAGATTGAAAGGTTTTATTAAGAAAACTCTGACAAATGAACACAAGCATTAATGAGAGATTATGCTGAATCATGAATTTCACACTTCAGGAATAAGCATTATTGCCTAGATTTATTCCGATCTCGTAGCACCCGCCTGAGAATTTTCCCTGCTGGTGACTTTGGGATAGCCTCCACAAATTCAACACCGCCTGCCAGGCGTTTGTACGAAGAAACTTGTTCTGAAAGAGAACGAACGCATCAAGCATCACCAGGGAACGCATACAGTCTTTTGAAGACAGGTTCCGCCATTAAGTGGTCCGCTAAATGCCTCAGTGCATTTGGCATCGTAGTCTGCATTCGCAAAAAGTACATTTTTCATCACTCGAAGGACAAGACCAAAGAGACTAGGGAAGCGTGATTATTGCAACCATTGCAGCCACGATTACTTTTTATCTGCAAGACAACGGCTTACAAGCGAAATTGCGTGTGTATGTAGTGTCTCCTGGAGTGTTGTAGGCTGATTTCTTATTGCTCCTACCGGAACCGCGCTCCTACGGGAATTGCTGCACATAGAATCCTGCTGATTGGGCTTGTCTTTATGGTGTACACGTATATGCCAGGGGCCCCCACTGCTGATGGCGTCTCTGTTCCCAAAGTTTTTTAAGCTTCTTTCGCTACTGGTCATGACAGGGCATTACTAACCGTAACACTCGACCGCGAAAATTGCCTGCAAGGCTTCGCCGTTTTAAAGACAGTTTTTGCGTTCTGAACTAGCTGCCGATAAATGACTTTCAATTAGATTGAAGAGCAAGAAAACCTCAAGAACACCCTAAACGGAACCCTTGCCTCACAGCCACACGGTCTCATTGTACGAACAAACCGGACTTGCTGGCGACTGGACACCCTACGAACTCTGTGCAACCTTTTGCTCATGAACCGCTTCCTCGCATCTTGCAGTGCTGAATGCTGTGTAATATAAAAAAACGACAGCAAATAGCCTTTGAAAACCCTGCGCATGAGACTGAGCCTACGTTAAGCAATGCACGACGACCTTTGCACCAAATATCGCATCATTGGTGAATTTAAGCAGCGCCCAAACACATCTTGCTTTGCGAAGCAGACTGCTACTGAACTAATGTTTTCTAAGAAAGTACCAGAAAGCAGAACAACTCATGAGCTTGAAAAAGAGTCGACAAAGTAATCCCTCTGAAGCGCTTACGACGCTGCAGGAACAGAATGCATCTACCAGCTCACTGGGTAAGTCGCTGTCCTGCCGACTGAACAGAGAACAGAGTGCCCAAGTCAACTGGCACTTAAACCTATTTCCAACCCCGATACTAACGAACATCTCTATGGTTAATCGCGAATGCTGCCTTCAAAGGCATTAGGCACGATAATTTGATTTCCGGTCTAAAATCGTAGCAGGGGTGCTATACTGAGAGAAAATGGCGAAGTGAAACGTCAAAAGCCTGCTAAAAAGCGTCAGTTCTACACGACTCAGAAGAGCGATTTCGGACGAGTTCCCCATCGGCATCGTTCCAAGAACCGCTTGTAAATACGGCTGCGTGTATGCAGCACCGCTCCGCTTCATATCAATCCCTCCGCTTCATTGTACGATAAATGAAATGAAGCGATACAAGCTCCAGAACAGGTCGGAAATTTGTGGGCGGGCTGCGCGCTGGGCGTCCGGGTCGCTGTTGCAGCTTGAAAGGACGCTATACGGGTACCCTTCTCAAAAAGATTACGCAGCGTCTCTCAGGGGCGCCGAATACTGTCTTGCTGAGCGTATTAGTGTAATAATTCTAAAGTTTTATGTTAGGGATTCCTCGTGCCACTTGCCTCTGAGCTATAGGGCTAATTGAGTGGACCTGGGAAGTCACTCTCAGCAAGAGTCCGCTTGCTTT